TGGACACAACTTCGGACATAACACTACTGAGTGTCGTGGTCACCAGCCAGTTTTTTGTGGTTTTTGGCTCCAAATCTTTTTTAATTAACTAGCACGAAATGAAATTGTTGTTTGTTCAACCTGCAAAATTTTATGAATATCTCTTCATCTCCCTTTAAATATTGCAAATTTAACATTTTAAAATAACCTTCTTTATTTCTTTTTTGAAACATCTATGTATTGAAATTTTTTGGCGTTTTGGCGTTTTTTTTTTTAAGTAATTGAAAATCAGCTCATCCTTGTCTTCTTCTTCTAATAAATGTTTTATAAATTTTTTCCCAAATAACTAAGCAATTATATTTCTTCATCGTCACTATGTGACGTGGCAGCGCAGTGACTTGCGACAAACTGATCAGTCGAACACTACGAACTGAGCCAAAAGAAGTTGCTGTCGCATGTCTCGGTCGCGTGTTGGTGTCTCTTGTCGCGGTCGCAAACTTGGAACGACTACCTTAGGCCGGCGCTGACCCTCCTGTAACGGAGGGGGGCGACTCCGGGGAGAAGGCTGGGTCCTCGGGGGACCTCCAACAATAGATAGGTTTCTGGCAAGGGTTTTCGCGTCGCAATCGTGAATGAGCCTCTGCCGAATCAACTTAGAGCAAAGTAGGGCGGCGACTGCACCACTCAGTCGACGCCTACAGGATTACTATAACATACCATTAATTCAAAAGCTCTGGATTGTAAAATCCAGGATCTTGGGATTAAGCAATATGTACGGCACTATCTTTTCAGATACGACCACAACCCAGGAACATAAAGGGCACCTTCCTACCGCAGCTGTCTACCCCCGATTTGGCAGTGGTTATGATAACTTGCGACCTCGCTTGCGACATGACAGATGGACCCATGGATATTGTCATCGCTTCCAGCTACCTCCCCATAGACACACCGATGCCGTACAATAGCTCTGGCAAATCTGCAGGTAACTCATCATTGGAGAGGATACAAACACCCACCACAATGTTGGTGGTGGTTGATGGTGACAACTTAGTGGAATTTCTCATCTCCACAAATATAGAAGTTCTCAACAAAGGCGGCGAACCGAAATTTGTCACGAGCCGCTGCCAAACGGTAATAGCTATTTACCTAACAAGTGCGGAATTATATTAATATTTTCCGCAAGTGTTAGGTACAATATTTTTCCTACAGGCGTAAAAATGTAAAATTTTTCTTTTTTTTTTGACATATCAGTGCGGTAAAATTTTTTCCGCACTGACAGCCGTGCGGAAAAACTTTTTTTCTACTGACGTTTCATAATAGCAACTTTTCGATTGTCATTTCAGTTTTGAAACGACATTCTTTTAGGCACTGAGTGCGTGAAAGTTACTTTTAGGCACTCAGTGCGTAAAAGTGACTTTTGAATGCGTAAAAGTGACTTATGAGTGCGTAAAAGTAATTTTTAAACACTAGTGCCTAAAAGTGTCATTCATTATTCAGAAATAAAAAACACACTAAACACATATTTGAATTTTGTTTTGTATTCATTATGAATATTGAAAATGGAATTACTGAATTGAACGTTTGGGTTACTCAAAACAGAACTTTGTGTTATTAGCTACTTTCTAGGATTTTAATTATTGATGTCGAATTTTGAAAAGAAAATCGCATGAAAAGTGTCAGGTGTCAAGTAAAAGCAGGTAACAAAGATTTTGGGTGTAATCGACTTATTCACATGAAATAAAATTGTGTTTTTTTATTATAAAATGCCAGTAGAAAAAATCTTGTATACAATACGTTACGAAACGATGTCTTTTAGTCACTCGACGTGTTGTCCAACTCGGCTTTGCCTCGTTGGACAATTTTCACGTCGCGTGCCTAAAAGACGCTCATTTCGTAACTTATTGTATAAATAGCTATTCCGCACTGATATGTCACAAAAAAAAAGTTTTTTCTACTGACGTTTCATAATAGCAACTTTTCGATTGTCATTTCAGTTTTGAAACGACATTCTTTTAGGCACTGAGTGCGTGAAAGTTACTTTTAGGCACTCAGTGCGTAAAAGTGACTTTTGAATGCGTAAAAGTGACTTATGAGTGCGTAAAAGTAATTTTTAAGCACTAGTGCCTAAAAGTGTCATCCATTATTCAGAAATAAAAAACACACTGAACACAGATTTGAATTTTGTTTTGCATTTATTATGAATATTGAAAATGGAATTACTGAATTGAACGTTTGGGTTACTCAAAACAGAAGTTTGTGTTATTACCTACTTTCTAGGATTTTAATTATTGATGTCGAATTTTGAAAAGAAAATCGCATGAAAAGTGTCAGGTGTCAAGTAAAAGCAGGTAACAAAGATTTTGGGTGTAATCGACTTATTCACATGAAATAAAATTGTGTTTTTTTATTATAAAATGCCAGTAGAAAAAATCTTGTATACAATACGTTACGAAACGATGTCTTTTAGTCACTCGACGTGTTGTCCAACTCAATTTTCACGTCGCGTGCCTAAAAGACGCTCATTTCGTAACTTATTGTATAAATAGCTATTACCGCACCGTGCGGGAAAACTCATTTTTGAAACAGGTCCTGACAACCTGCCAAGGTGAAACAGGTATACCTACCTTGCTCGCAAGCTCGCTCGGCCATAAAATTATTCGTACAATAAAGCCTTACTTTATGTACTTGTTATATAAATAGCTATTGTTTGCCCATCGATTGCCCATGTTTGCCCACCCACAGAGCTGCAACAAGTCAATTTTAAAAAGACTTAAATCTTAAGTCTTAAGCTCGGTCTTAAGTCACTTCTAAAATCAAAATGATTTAAATCTTAAGTCAATTCTAACATTAAGTTCAAAACATTTAAGTCTTAAATCTTTGACTTAAACTGTTTCAAGTCAAGTCATTCCCATAACGACTTAAGTGAGTATAATATGATTGAAGTCGTTTTATGTCCTAAATTCTTCAGTAAGTCTAGGAGTATTTTTGATTTAAATTATGATAATCTACGAGTTAAGTGAATAAAATGACTGAAATCCGACTTAAGTCAAAATAATCACTCTCAAGTCAAGACAACGTTAATTCAATTTAAGTACCTATTTTTTAAAATACTCTCAATTTTTAGTTATTACTTATCTATTGTAGATACAGATGAGAATAAAACCAATATGTTAAGACTTTAGAACAGTTTATTTTCAGAACACTCACAAGCTAATTGAAATATTAAATAGTATATTGTGTATTTAGGTGGAAAAGTGACACATTCTCGGCCGACGGTGTAAGTTGACGAGCGAGGCGCAGCCGAGGCCGGCAAACACCGAAGGCTGAGAATGTGCTTTTCCACCGAAATACACATACTATTTTTTCTGCGATCGGTTAAATACCTGTTAAATATTTGTCTTTTGGTTCCAAATATTCAGCAGTACGAGAATCACTTTCCCGACCTAGGCCGGAAAAGTCTTTCCCGTATTGTTATTCATTGATTTCTTAGCAACTATTGAAACATAATTAAAATACGAGAATATTGAGTTTTGCGACTTGTCAACCGGTCAAAAATGATGACATTTCTTGTCAATCGCAGAAAAACATCTTTTTTTAGCATAGAGTATACAATACATACAGGGACAGGGTGACTATTTTTTCAAACACATATTATGGCCATTATAGGTAACTAACTTTTAAACGGTCATAGATTCAGACTTGGTTAACTTAGATAAAAGTTGAAGATTATGTTCCATTTCAAAAACTGATAAATTTTCCTAAACCTGTTTTTAAAATGTTTTCATAATATTCCAGGAACCCAGGAACTGAAAATAAATCCGAAACAACAAAAAACTGATTTAATTCTCTTCTGAAAAGACTCAAATATTTTCTAAATTACTTGAAAAATTGATAGACTGTAGCCTTTTATAAAGACTTGAATCTATTTTTTGACTTGAATCGTTTCTAGATACTTAAATCGTAGGTAAGTATATACTGATTTAAGTCTTTTAGATAACGCCTTAAGTTTTTTCATTTTTCGGATAAAACATTTAAGTCACAAATCATTTTGAAAATGACTTAAATTTTAAATCTTAAGTCAGCTTTCAAGAAACGACCTAAAATCAAATGACAGTCATTAAAATGATTTAAATCAAAAGAAAGATTTAAGTTTTCGGAGAGCTTGCAGCTCTGCCACCTCAATAACTTTTTTTGTCCACCCCCCAAAAAAAAGTTATTCAGCAATTGATAGGCAAACGAACTGTGATATTAGATTGTCCAATTTCAAATTTGGGGGTGCTGGAAAAAGAGTCGTCAACACTTTATATTTCCAATAACTTTTTTTTGGAGGGTGGGCAAAAAAGTTATTGTGTGGGCTTACATGGGCATTCAAACTGTGATTTTACATTGGCCATAAATTATCAAATTTGGGAGTGCTAAAAAAAAAGTTGTCAACGTTTCATATTTCCAATAACTTTTTTTTGGAGGGTGGGCAAACATTGGCAATCGATGGCAAACAAACTGTTAATTTAGATTGTTCATTTTCAAATTTGGGGGTGCTGGAAAAAAAAATATTCTCAGAATTTTATTTTTTCAATAACTTTTTCTTGGGAGGTGGGCAGAAGAAGTAATTGGGTTGGTCTGCATGGGCATAGGATGGAAAAACGAATTATGTTAGTATTGTTTTTCGAAATTTCGTTGGTGGGGGTGCCCCCATCACAGAGCTAAATACCTTGCCTTTCTCTTGTTTCTGGTAGAAATATTTTAGATGATATAAAGAAAAGATACCTAAAAATATTGTATTTTCTGCGTGTTTGAGTGGCTTACCTATCCATTTTTACAGTCAACACAAGTAGAAATTTGGCTTTTTTTTCACACTTAAATAACTATTAAAAATTCATATATTTTGTAGGTAGACGTTTAAACTTTAAACCTCGGTAGCTACTTATTTTAACTTCGATGAACACTGAAATAGTATATTGAATATTGATTGTTCCTTGCTTTTATGGTTAGGCTTAGGGTCTATGTAACTGATAACTTACCAGGCCAAAAGTACGCCTCTATGAAGAACTCAATCCAAGAAGTAACTGCTGCCATAGTATATTGGGGGCTGTGATTAATCACAAACGAGTCCTTTGAAACTTTTGAAGGTTGAATGATGGATATAGATAAAAATTCAGTGAAATGGAAGAAAGCCATCACAGACATGTAGAGTCCAAATATTTTTATATGCTGGGGACTGGTGAGGAAAATGTAAATACCCATAGAGAAAAAACCACCTAGCATTGCTGAACGCCAAGAAATCTGAAAAAGAATTTGAGTTTGAAAATGATGATATAGAGGATAGAGACCTAAACTTTTGTTGTTAAGGGGATTGAATGCGCCTCAGTGCCAAAATATTTTTTCCTGCGCGAAGCACCTAACGCAGTCTATCATTGTATTCTTCCTCTCCCATTAATACTCCTTAGTGGGAATGAGATGAATGAAACAAGGAATGCATTGCGTTCTTAATTTCAACGTAACTTTTTAACAGTTGAAGTTATATCAAATTTCTTTTTTGCATTCGATTTATAATATAGGAACGAATGGCGTTATCTTTTTAGAAATCCGATAATAGAAGTTCTCGAAAAATTACAAAAATGTAATTTAAACTGGAAAAAAAACGAGAAAGTTAGTCAATTTATGTTGTTTTTTTTTTAATTAGCGCCATTCTTATGTGTGTTAGCAATACAATCGCGTAAACCAGAATTCCAAAAATTATCTAGTTTTTTTTTCTGTAGAAATTTAAATAATCCTTCTTGCCATTTTGTCTGTCTCTGTTATATCCGCAGCAAACCCTATGGCTCTTTCCTCCGCCTCTTTTGCAATACATTTTAAATCGCCGTCATGAACGATCCAGCGCAAAGCGGCCCAACAGTAGCCCAATGCAATGATCGCGATGAACCTCGCATCTTTATTAGTATTAACTTGTTGGGTAGTCGTATAGTTCGACGTGCGTTACAATATATTTTAAACGGCGCATTCAATCCCCTTAATGACAATATACACCGACTTCAAAAAGTCCCACATAGATTCATTGTTTGAAAACAGTAGAATTTATGAAGAATCGCTCAGACACATCAAATCAAATCAAAAAATGCTTTATTGTCTAAGAACAAAATTCTCCTTGACAAAGCTGTAAAAGGGAAAAAGAAAAAATATACAAAAATAATTCCAGGGCCATACAGTACCAAGATTTTTTGTTTTTTTGTCTGAAATTTTTCGATATATTATCATACAGGGTGTCTCAAAAATAGCCTTGCTGGTATCAACTTTATTTTTCTAAATGGTACCCCCTGTATATTATGACATTTCTGGATTCTGCGGAAAAGTCTAGCCATATTTCATGTACCATCGTCACCAAAAGTATCTGGGACACAAATAATGCATAATAATCTCCTGGACTAATTCTACTGTTATTCATTTCAATGCATTTAATTCATAGTTTGACAAATATTTGACAATCAAATTTATATAATAGGACAAGAGCTGATGTGATGCTGTCCCAGTTACTTTTAGTGACGATGGTACATTGTCATATACCTATCTTCAACTGTTTCGGAAATATTGACAGTTGAAAATTGACTTTTTTGCATCTTTGACAGACTGTAAAACCTGAATGGTTAATTTTACAGCAAACCCGATCAAATTCAAAGTTGGTGTCAAATGATAGCTTATGAAAAGCTACAGACAAGAATGTGGAATCAATTTTGCTGTGAAATGTGAAATTCACTATTTAGGTTTTACAGCCTGTCAAAGTTGTCAAAGTCAATTTTCCACTGTTAATATTACCGAAACAGTTGAAGATTGGTATATAACATTGTATGTACAGTCATGAGCACAAAAAGTGGGACACTCGACTAACAGGTCTTGTCATTTTTCGCTATTTTGTGTAAATCAGTCTTTTCTCTACAATCGATTTTTTGTCAAATATGACAATCCCTGTCGTTGCCGTAGGTATAGCTGGTGAGCCCATTTTACAATAGGAAAAAACGGGTGTCCCACTTTTTGTGCTCACGACTGTACAGGGTGGGCCAATTTGGACACTTTTAATAGGAAACATCAATTTCTGAGCAAGATACAAAAAAATGAACCCCCCACTCTGAGGCTCAAATTTCATGATTGATGCAAACCGCATTTTGATATATTCAACCGTTTAGCCGCTAGATGGCGCTCCTCGATTTTGAGCAATAGCCTGAAACCTTCATAACTATTTGTTTATGAATGAAATTGATTTCTGTAAAAACTTTTTGGAAGCACTTTTCTAAACAGAATTCAGTGACGTTCTCAGTTTTTTTTAGTTGGTCCCAACTTCGAGATATTGACCAAAGTCTGGTTTTTTTCAATAGGATACCCTATATAATAATAGCTCATTAGAAAGCTCTGCGTTTTCTGATTTCAATTATATAAAGTTCGATAGGTTTATCTGTAACAGTTTTCGAAAAAAAATTATTTCGGTTTTTGTCATAAGAAACAATGTGTTGCAAAGACACCTTTCTCAGTTTCCTTACAGATATAAAGTCCTTTTCTTACACATTGCTTCTTATGACAAAAACCGAAATAATTTTTTTCTCGAAAACTGTTAGAGATAAACCTATCGAACTTTATACCATTGAAATCAGAAAATGTAGAGCTTTCTAATTAGCTATTAATATAGGGTGTCCTATTGAAAAAAACCAGACCTTGGTCAATATCTCGGAGTTGGGACCAACTAGAAAAAAACTGAGAATGTAACTAAATTCTGCTTAAAAAATTCTCCCAGAAAGTTGTTACGGAAATAAATTATTTTCATAAACAAAAAAGTTATGAAGGTTTCGCAATATTGCTCAAAATCGAGAATCGCCCTCTAGAGGCTAAACGGTTGAAGATATCAAAATGCGGTTTGCACCAATCATGAAATTTGAGCCTCAGAGTGGGGGGTTCATTTTTTTGTATCTTGCTCAGAAATTGACGTTTCCAATTAAAAGTATCCAAATTGGCCCACCCTGTACAGGGTGGGCCAATTTGGACACTTCCTTATGGAAACACCCTTTATTTTTAGAGATAGAAAAAAATGAACCTGCCACTCTGAGGCTCAAATTTCATGAAATTTTGATTGGTGCAAACCGCTTTTTGATATCTTCAACCGTTTAGCCGCTATAGGGCGATTCTCGATTTTGAGCAATATTGTGAACCCTTCATAGCTTTTTTGTTTATGAAAATAATTGATTACCGTAAAAACTTTCTGGAAGCACTTTTTAAAACAGAATTCAGGGACGTGCTCAGTTTTTTTCTATTTGGCGCCGATTTTGAGATATTGACCAAAGTTTGATTTTTTTCACTGGGACACCCTTTATATTAATAGCTCATTGAAGAGTTATGATTTTTCTGATTTTATTGATATAAAGGTTTATCTTTAATTTGTTTTTAAACGGACTTGCCATTTAGCTTTTACAATCTATCATAAATTACATTCAATGCACTAAAATTACAATACCTAAAATAGAACTACAAAAAATAGAATAGGATAATTAATAGATTCACCCAGCCTTTCAAGTAATTTGATACAATTTAAAGAATTAACTTTATAAGTCTGTTGAAACAAGCAAGATCGGTACAGAAAAGATCAGCACTACCACACTTTGAATTTGCCAGCCCACATATTCTGGACATAGGACTATTTAACCCATAGTTAGTTCTATGAAAATCTATTGCAAATAAGTCATGCTGACGGGTTAATCTTTGGGGTACTCTAATATTAATATTACTTAACAATTCAGGGCTATCAATCATGCCATTTACAATTTTGAACAAAGTAATTATATCAAATTGAGTCCTTCTAACTTCCAAAAGTGGTAAATTCAACTTTCCATACAAATGTTCATAATTAATGTCTTCCATGGGAATTCCCAATTTAAAATTTATAGTTCTCAAAAATCGTCTCTGAACCTTCTCCAAAGAATCTACATAAACATTATAATATGGAGACCAGGCTGGACTAGCATACTCCAACACTGACCTTACAAAACTACAATATAGTGTTCTAAAACACGTGACATCACGAAAATCAGCAAGTGTTCTATTTACAAAGCCTAACATTTTTATTGCTTTATTCCTCATATAATGTATATGGTAATCAAACCGCAGCTCACTGTCAATATAAACTCCAAGATCTTTTATAACATTTACTCTTTCCAGTTGCTCATCATAGATTTCATAATCAAATGGAATGTTCTGTTTTTTTCTAGATACGGTTAAAATCTTACATTTCTGAATATTCAATTCCATACCGTTTAACTTACACCACAGGCACAAGCTATTTAAGTCTTTTTGCAATTCAAGACAATCTTCAGTATTCCTTATAGTCTTAAATAACTTCAAGTCATCAGCAAAAAGAAGTTTACTACTGAATTTAATTTTCGAAATAAGATCATTTATAAAAATGTCAAAAAGTATTGGTGCCAAATGTGATCCTTGGGGCACTCCAGATAACACATTTATTTTAGATGATATCACATTCTTTATCTTAACTGCCAGCGTACGGTCTGATAAATAACTCTTAAACCAAGCCAGAATTGAACCATGGAAACCTACACACTCCAATTTGTGTAACAAAATATCGTGCTGCACCCTGTCAAAAGCCTTGGAAAAATTGGTGTAGACTGAGTCAATCTGATATCTGTCTTCCAAGGCCCTCGCCAGTGATTCAGTGTAGACCAGAAGGTTCGTAACAGTTGAACGACCCTTTACAAAACCATGTTGGGATGACGATAATACACTGTACAATAAAGGAGCTATCTTATTAGTTACTATTGATTCGAATAACTTTGCGATAATACTAAACTTAGAAATTGGCCTATAATTATCAACCAAAGATTTGTCGCCACTCTTGAAAATTGGAGTTACTCGAGAATCCTTCCATGGTGAAGGGAATGTTCCAGATGACAAAGATACATTATACAATTTTACTAGAATTTCAGACAATATAATATATTTACCTACACTCTAACCATTTTCGAGAAAAAAAATTATTTTGGTTTTTGTCATAAGAAACAATGTATTAGAAAAAGACCTTTTTCATTTTCCTTACAGATATAAAGTCCTTTTCTAATTGAGTCTTCCAAACAGGAACCGTTTAACTCTAGTTCCCTACTTCAGGAGCTTGCTGCCTGTAACTTCGAGAACTTTCCCATGATCCATCAACCACCAAAATTATGCATCAGCAATTCAATTGAAAACCGGTCAATTATTGTACTATTAATAATAATATTAAAAGATTATTAATT